AAAAAGCAAAGTGGGAGACACCTGAGCTGTTGACTTTCCGCTGTACAGAAGGCACACCCATTTTGATTGTTTACACATGGCAGCCATTTTGGATATTTAAAGTGACCGAGGGTACAGCCATTTTGAATGTTTATAAGTGGTGGCCATTTGGATATTTAAAGTGACCGAGACTGCAGCTATTTTGAATGTTTACAAGCAGTGGCCATTTTAGATATTTAAAGTGACCAAGGGCACAGCCATTTTGAATGTTTACAAGTGGTGGCCACTTTGGATATTTAAAGTGACCGGGGGTGCAGTCATTTTGAATGTTTACAAGCAGTAACCATTTTGGATTTTAAAGTGATAGCATTCTCATTTGGATTTCAGGGACCTAAGAATAGGCTCTCTGGTAGCACAGTGTATAAGGCACTTGACTGCTAACCAGAAGGCTGGGGGTTCAAACCCACCAGCCACTCCTCGGAAGAAAGGTTGGGCAATCCTACTTCTGTAGCGATACTGCCTTGGAAACCCAAGGAGGGGTTGCTGTGAGTCAGGGCTGACTCGATGTCACATAACAACAGCAACATCAACACCAAGAATAGGCTCTGCTTGCCAAGGTCGGAAGGGATATACGAAAGATTGACAACAGGAAAGGAGACAGGTGGTGAGTGTATAAGTGCTGCCTGCTAGCAAATAGAGGAGCACAGCACAGTACCCTGCTTGTGTAGATAATATATAAACAAAACAAAGAAAAGGAAAATCATGGGCAAGTCACTCCAACATACAATCACCCATTAAATATAAACACAAAAAATGTCACAATGTCTTGGAGACAACAGAGTATCACAGTCTACACAAAGAAACAAGATAAAGCAGGAGAAACAAGGCACCAGGATATAGACCCAAAACACATCCCTGAGGAAGATGCAGCATTGGAACTCCCTGATAAGGAATTCAAAAGAATTTTATTTAGGTGTCTTCATCAAATTGAGAGACAGATCAACGAAAACACAGAGAAAACCTAGAAGAATTTCAAAAGACAATACAAGAACAAAATGACAAAGTAAATGAAAAATTAGAAATGATACAAAATCTACATACAGAAATCCAGAAGATTAATACTAAATTTTCAGAAATAGATAAGATATTGAATGGGCAAAGGAGAAGAACTGAATCAATGGAAGACAGAATTGGAAGATTGAAGGCAAATACCTGAACACTTCTCTGGAAAGGGATAAATCAGAAAAAAGATCAAAACAAAATGAAGAAAGCCTAAGGTTCATGTGGAATACCATCAAAAGGAACATCCTATATGTAATCAGAATTCCAGAATTGAAAGACAGAAATAAAACCACAGAGAAAACTGTCAAAGGCTTGTTGGACAAGAATTCTCCTGGTATGATGAAAGATAAGAATATATCCATTCAGGAAGTCCAATGAATTCCAAAAAGGATAGACCCCAAAAGAAAATCACCCAGATATATCATCAAACTCACCAAAACCAAAGACAAAAAAAGAATCATGAGAGCAGCATGGGGAAAAAAAAAAAAAATTACCTACAAGGGGCAACCAATAATGCTAAGCTCAGATTTCTTGACAGAAACCACACAGGTGAGAAGACAATGGGATGGTATATATAAAACCCTGAAAAAGAAAACTTTCCAACCAAGAATTATGTACCCAGCAAAATTGTCCCTCAAATATGATGGTGAAATTAGGACATTTCCAGATAAGCAGAAATTAAGGGAATTTGTTAAAACCAG